CAGCCACTGCTAGCCTGGCCTGAGAGGAAAGCAACTCAGACAAACTAATTCTGGAGTGTCTCATCTGAATCATCCTGCCTGGCCACTGTGGAGGCAGTAGATTTAGGATGAGGGCAGTGTGTACCCCATGTGAGTAGACAGGTGTATTCATTTTCTAAGACTGCCATACTAAATATCATAAACTGGATGGCTTTTAAGAACAGAAGTTTATTGTCTCCCGATTCTGGAGGCTAGAAGCCCAAATCTACAGTATCAGCAGGGCCACTGGCTCTAGGGGAAGATCCTTCCTTGCCTCTTCCCGATTCTGATAGTATCAGGCATTCATTCCTTAGCATTCGTTGGCCTGTAGATGCATCTTCACATGGCTGTCATCCCTCCTCCTCTATTTCTGTGTTTCTTCTCTTTTATAAGGACAATAGTCATAAAGAATTAGAACCCACTCTACTCCAGTATGACCCCATGTTAACTGAATGTCTTAAAGCACTATTTCCAAACAAAGTCACTTCAACGTATCTTTTGAGGGAACACAATTCAATCCATACCAGGATAAAGAGGCAGTTATTAATTGAGTTGGGACTGCAGCAGGGAGACATTTCCAGGAGTCATCCTGTTCCCTCAAGGTGGAAGGTAAAAGTTGTGAATGACTTCCTTTTGGAAACTCAGGGAGATACCATCTTCCTTGGTCACCATCCCTTAGAATATGTCAATGGAGTTAAATTCAACATAGGAATCACTCTATCACTAGAAGGACTATCCCAGGCCCTATTCTGTGTTCAAGTCTGGAACAAGGAAATTGTATATCCTAAAGAGTCCTGTGGGAGCTCTGGTGGGTGTAGTGCCTAAGGCATTTGTCTGCTAACCAGAAGGCTGGAGGTTCAAACTCACCAGCCACTCCTCGGAAGGAAGACTGGGCAATCTACGTCTATGGAGATACAGCCTCGGAAACCTAAGGAGGGGTCGCTATGAGTTGGATTCGACTCGATGACAGTGAGTGAGTGTGAGTGAAAGAGTTCTGTGGCCTCCTTAATGCCAGTCATAATATAGTTAATGCTTTCCTTAGAATATCATTTCCCTCATAAAATTTGATCAACTAACTACTTCTAGAGTTCTCTAAAGCTTTTAAAATCTACTTACAAATGTCCCCTATATAATTTTATAAATTATGAATGTACTTCCTGAGTTTTCCATGCCATATGTAAATTAACTCCTTTTTGTCAGCACCAAGTTTTATCTTTAAAATAACAATTTAGAGAATCTGAATGAAAGAGTCAAATTCAGCAGCAGAGTGGCCTTGGAGAAATCATTTTAGCTCTGGAAGACATAGTTTTATCTTGTCTAAAAAGACAATTACACACTTCACAGTAACACTGTCATGAATTACAGATATAATTTGAAAAAAGCCTCTGCAATCTATGGTGAGCTGCATACATGCTAAGTTTTAAAACAATAGCTGTGAAGTCATCTTTTTAACATCATTAACAGGAGCCCTGGTGGCTCGTGGTTAAAGAACTCAGCTGCTAAACAAAAGGTCAGTGGATTGAACTCACCAGCTGTTCCAGGGCTGAAAGATGAGGCAGTCTGCTTCTATAAAGATGTCTACTCTGTCCTGTAGGGTGGCTATGAGTCAGAATCAACTCAGTGGCAGTGGGTTAACATTATTAACAAAGACAGAAAAATCTGTCTGTTATTTCTTCTCTTCAGATGTTGGGATCATTATAATTTCAATCCCCACCTCTTAACTTCATCATTACGGAGGGAAAAAGAGAAGGGAAAGCACAGTAGATACAATTGATCACGCTTTCACTGCATTTTCACCCTCTAAACTGCCACCTCCACCCCTGCACAGAGCTACTCTGATTTGAACTATCATTTCGATCTCAGAACCTGGTTCTCCTCTCTGTGTGCTCATGAATATGGACACTTGAGTATGAAACACAGAATCTTAAAACAAATTGATGAATGAGGAAGAAAAGAATGAAGCTTTGTAAGCTACATGAGATACAGCATGAGTTCAGGGTCATTATTTCACCCCTCTTGGTTTGATTTTGAGGAAAGGGACTGGTGGACAGCCCTCATTGCATTTGCTGACAATTGCATTCCTTATCCTCATGAGCAAGGGTCTTGCTGACCCCGGTGCCTAAGCTCTGACAGGTCTATGTGGTTTGTTACTGATAGTTTTGACCCCTTCCCAAAGGAACAGCTGATCCAGATGGTGAATACTATCACTTAATGTATTTTTTTATACCTGCATGGTTAATGTCCT